GCAATTGAACTAACCATTATGTAGAAGACTGACTACCCATAAGTATAACGATGAATCATAACAACCGGAATCCAAAATATTTCATCAGGATAAACTAACCCACTTTCCTGAAGAATTGTGCGTGTTGTTGACACATACGATGGGCTAAAATTAAAGTACTTGTTTTCCATCTAAAGAAGCCGCCTGCATCTATTTAAGTGCTTAGACAACGTTAACGGCTGATGACTCTAGAAAGCTGGTCTAGTTAACAATTATTCCACGAGCGCGCGTTGGATATAAGATGATAGATAGCCAACGAGGCGCGTAGCGCCGAGTTGGCTATAATCATCTCATATCCAACAAGCGCGAGTGGAATAATTGTTTTATTAAAAACGCCCCCAAGGAATTATTATTTTGTAAGAAGAAACCGGATTTTTTAGCTCCCTTTTGACTTTTAGCTAACGCGTACGCCTACCATATTTGTAGATTATGGTATATTGGCTCATATACCATGATGGCTAAGCCAATAAAAAGTCTTGAATTGCATTATCCAATGATCCAGTTAATAATAATATAGGTTAGACACGTTGACACAAATATCAATAATATCCTTTTCTAAAGAGTTTGTATATCGTTAACACCTTTTATAGGCTAGAGGTACTCATTTTCCATCAAGAGAAGCTATTAGCATCTAGTTGAGAACTTAGACAACGCTAAAGGCGGATGACTCTAGAAAGCTGGCTTAATATGGATTAGACTATCTGACACAATTGTCAGGAACAACTGCCACTCTACAAACATTTACTCCAATTCTCAACCTGTCCTAAACCCGTTTCCTAAGTTGAGTGTTTTTTCAGTTCATATTAATGATAAGACCCCAGTTCAACTCCCCTTGCATCTCCAACATCACTAAGATTAACCTGTGAGCTCTTCTTTGTAGAATTTCCTTTGTTAACAGATGGAAAAACAGTGTTGACTTTTCTGTTGAACCGCTCTTTAATCTGCAGATAGAAACAAAATTAAACAAAAGAAAGCATCCCAACACACACGCACAGACGCATATATATTCAAGTTTTAAAATCTCATTACTCACATGTTTTCTTTCTATATTAGACATACCTGGCTGTTTCGCACACAGTGAAGTGAAAAAATCAGGAAACCCTTAAATGAGGAAAACTTTTCCAACTTAATCTCTTCTTTTCTTAATATACGATTCAATTTAGGCAAGTGAAAGGTGTTGGTTTTTGTTTTCTGTTTCAAATATCTCAGAGCTAGTGCAATGACGTAGATAAATTCTTTAATTATGAGAGTGGAGCAGAAACTATGTTTATGTTCTTTTTAGTTATATACTCTTCTGTAATAGTTACAATTACTGGAGCTACAGTATCAACTTACTTCATGAAAAGACATTATCCATATACGTAGTCTAGACACTCCATATAGAGAAATTTATTCATGAAAGAGGATTAAACACTTACCTGAGTAGAGTTGAGGATGTTAAAAATGTAAGCGAAAGCTTTGTGTAATGGCGATAAAAGACCAAATAGCCTCGTGACACCCAGCAGGGGAACCATCACCGCGCATGCTCTTATGCCAAGTCTAAAGGACGGCAAAAATTTAAGACATGGTGTTCTTAAACGTTTATTAACTGCATCTCTTCCTCAAAAGTATTTCTGGTCATCAGAAATATTCATGTTTTCCTAATATTAACTAACAAATGAGGAAGTGAGACAAATATCATTTAAAGGATGATTTAAAAATTTGATAAAATTCTGTTAAAGATCTCTGCCAGAAACTCTTTCTTTTTATCATAATTTTGAAGATCTATCTCACCGTATTTGCTGAGTTTGCTTATCTCCTGTTGGCTGCATTCTGGTCACCTCCCTTACGACTCTAATGAGTATCAAAATGTTGACCTTAGAGGGGAAGGATATGAATATATATATCTTTTTAACCAAGCGCTAGGGCCGTTCTGGGAAAATATTGGTCCGAGGTCTTGACAGTACGGACCGAGCGCAGCTCGGTCCTTACAAAAAAGACAGAGGGCCGATATTCTTCCAGTACGGTCCTGAGCAAGCTTGGTTAATAAGAGATTTATTATACGACTGAAGTTCAAAGGGACACAAGTCCGGTATCATTCGGGACCATTCGGGACAGTGCCCGGTCCAATACTGAGAGAATATTGACCGGCAATAGAGCATTTTGATTGGTTGATTTTAGTTATTGGCCCTCTGACTGCCCGAGTCGTGTAATAATAAA